GTATTGTCATTTCTTCAACCAATACTGTATTGGTAACTTTTTCAACTTTTTTACATTTTTCCAATACTCTAAAACCATTGCAACATTTGTTGTATACACATTTTTGCTTACTTTAAAAATTATTTCCTTAGGATAAATTCATAAAAGTAGACTTGTAGGGCAGGGGATATAGCTCAGTTGGTAGAGTGCTTGCCTCTCATGCACAAGGCCCTGGGTTCAATCCCTAGCACCACACACACACACAAAAAAATGACTTATAAACAAATCAAGGTGTATTGTTGCTGCAGAAAGTCCTCATTGTTTCTTACAGATAATCCTGAGCTTAGAATGGTATCTCTCTAATCTTGGATGGGGGATAGAAACAAACAAGTGCCCTCCTAGTAAATATGGTTTCCCTCTTGCTGCAGACTAATTGCCTGCCTCTTTCCCATACAACCTTCTAGAAAAATGCTCATCCACCATGCAGTTCACACCATTCAGTTAGGCTTCCATCCTTACTGTGATAACCAGCAAACACTTAAAAACTCTTCAGTTCTACTGTTTTCTCTTGATGTTACATGACATTACTTGTCACTCTTTTTGAATATCTTTCTGTGAGAACACATTACCTGATTTCTTCTTAAGTCTCCAGTTCTTATATCTCCATCTTCCTTTTGTGATCTTCTACCTGACCTGCTGTCTCTTTAGTTTAAAGTTTCTTTGACATTTATCAACCCTTTCAGCTGCTTAAATAATTACATATCTTCTTTTATTAATTTTTTATTTATATATGACAGCAGAATGCATTAAAATTCTTATTACACATATAGAGCATAATTTTTCATATCTCTTGTTGTACACAAAGTATATTCACAACAATTTGTGTCTTCATACATATATTTTGAATAATGATGTTCATCACATTTCACCATCATTTCTAACCCCATGCCCCCTCCCTTCCCCTTCCTCCCTTCTTTCCTATCTAGAATTCGTCTATTCCTTCCATGTTCCCCCTCCCTACCCCACTATGAATCAGGCTTCTTATATCAGAGAAAACATTCAGCATTTGGTTTTTTGGGATTGGCTAACTTCACTTAGCATTATCTTCTCTAACTCCATCCATTTACCTGCAAATGCCATGATTTTATTCTCTTTTATTGCTGAGTAATATTCCATTGTACTTATATGCCACATTTTTTATCCATTCATCTATTGAAGGCATCTAGGCTGGTCCCACAATTTACCTATTGTGAATTGTGCTGCTATAAACATTGATGTGGCTGTGTCCCTGTAGTATGCTGTTTTTAAGTCCTTTGGATATGGACCGAGAAAGGAATAGCTGGGTCAAATGGTGGTTCCATTCTCAATTTTCTAAGAAATTTCCATACCGCTTTCCAGATTGGTTGCACCAATTTGCAGTCCCACCAGCATGTATGAGTGTACCTTTTTCCCCACATCCTTGCCAACACTTATTGTTGTTTGTCTTCATAATAGCTGCCATTCTGACTGGAGTGAGATGAAATCTTAGAGTAGTTTTGATTTGCATTTCTCTAATCACTAGCAGTGATGAACATTTTTCATATATTTGTTGATTGATTGTATATCATCTTCTGAAAAGTGTCTGTTCAGGTCCTTGGCCCATTTAATGATGGAGTTATTTGTTTTGTTTTTTTTGGTGCTTAGCTTTTTGAGTTCTTTATATACCCTAGAGATTAGTGCTCTATCTGATGTGTGAGGGGTAAACATTTGCTCCTAAGATGTAGACTCTCTATTCACCTCCCAGATTGTTTCTTTTGCTGAAAAGAAACTTTTTAGTATTAATCCACCCCATTTATTGATTCTTGATTTTAATTCTTACACCAAAGGAGTCATATGAAGGAAATTGGGGCCTAATCCCACATGATGGAGATTAGGGCCTACTTTTTTTTTCTATTAGATGCAGGGAATAATTAAGGATCTTTAAACAAAACATTAAATGTACAACTGATTAATAAATAAAGCAAAGTATTCTTTTGTAAGGCCAAAAATGATTGTCGTTCATACTCTTCTAGGCAAACCTAGCTTTCCCTGTATGGGTGACTCTTAAAGTATGATCCCTGGACCAAGTGCATCTGTATCACCTGCAAATTTTTTAGAATATTCTTGGGCTCCATCTCAAAACCTACTGAACCTGCAGTTTGTATTCTAATAAGGCCTCCAGGTGATTCTGATGCATGCTAACATTTAAAAACCACTACTCTATATAATACACCCTTTTAATGTGAGGCATTAGTTTAATGACTAGGATAACTGGGGGAATCAGAAATAACGAATTCTCCTTTTAAGTAGCTGTGTAATGCTGAATTACATACATGGATCCTTTATTCCTTAGGAGATCAGGGTAAAAGAAAGTACTAAAATGCAGGGTAGAAATAGAACTCCTCCCAAATTGCTTCTCACAAGAAATGAGAACCTAGTTTGGCTACATGGGAATTACCTTACCCCTTTTGCTACCACTGGTGATGTCCCCTAGTACCTGAGGGGGAAGTGCTCCCTTTGCTGCCCTGGACAACCTTATTTGCCAGATTCACTGACTCCAGTGGAGACCCCTATTTTTCGCAATCACCTCACATACCAACAGGCAGCATAGAGGGAGGCAGGGGAACTGGCAGATGAAAGGGAGGGGAATACTGTCTGCTTCTTATGCAGCCACTGCTCTGGTGAAGGCAGAGGCTTGTTACTTGTGTGCCCTGGAAGGTTCATCTTCTCTCCAGCCCCTTCCTCGCTCTCCCTGTTTCCTAGCCTCCATGAGGTGAGCAGCTTTCCTCCAGCCATCCATTCACCCATCCCACTTCCCTTCTGCCCTGCTCTCCTCCTATCTATCTACCCACCCATTCACCCATAATTCTAGAAATACTGGTGTACCAGCTTGATTTCTCTCCAATATCAAATGAGGTTGGACCTCATCAGAGACCACCAATCCATGATATTTTGTTTGTTTGTTTTGTTTTAGGGTTTTTGTTTGTTGTTGTTTTTGTTTTTGTTTGTTGTTGTCATTGTTGTATTTTTGGTTTCCTCAGTATTTCCCAGAATGGTCCCTGGAATGCAGAAAGAAAATCGCAGAACTTCTATTTGTATTTCTTAACCCATCCTTTTGAAGTTTCTAGTTTGAGTGTGTAAGTGAATCACACACTATATAGCCTTTTGTTACTGGCTTCTTTGACTAAGCGTGTTTTTGAAGTTCATCTGTATTATAACGTGAATTCAATGTATTAATACTATCATAAACATGTAATTTAAAAATTACATTCTCAAAAAATCAAAAAGTGTACAATCAGGGGCATGGAGAATACAAATATTTTGGAGACCACAGCTATGAAGAATATGTTCAAAAGACCACAAGAGCAATTGAGGATACACAAGTACTCGCTTTGGGAGTAAAGAGCAAGAAGAGGCCCAGTCACAGTCTTGTAAAGCTGGACATCTAGAAAACATGGCCACAACCCAGTGCAGATGGGCCCACCTTTGTTCCACGTTATTGTGTGTTATGGTTTGGGTATGAGGTGTCCCCAAAAGCTTCTGTGCTAATGCAGGAACTGTTAAGAGGTGAGATGTAGGTGGGGCAATGGCTGGAAGAGGTAGGTCATTGGGTGTGTGCCCTGGAATGTTTATCCTCTCTCCAGCCCCTTCCTCGCTCTCTCTGTTTCCTAGCCTCCATGAGGTGAACAGCTGTCCTCCACCATGCCTTTCCAGAATGATGTTTGGCCTCACCTTGGGCCCAGAGCAATCGAGTCAGCTGTCCATGAACTGAATCTCTGAAATGAAGAGCCAAAATAGACTTTTTCTCCTCTAAGTTGGTCTTGTCAGGTATTTTGGACACAGCGATGAAAAGCTATCTTATACATTGTCCAAGGTCACACTGGTGGTTACTGCTGAGCCAGGAACACAGGCCAGTCATGCCCGAGTCTAGCTCTTATTTTACTGCCCACACAAAGGAACATGGAACTGGAGCCTGAACTTGAAGCCAAGACAGCAGATTCTTTAAGTAACCTCCCTAAGAGCATGTCCTGAAACTTCATTACGTACAGGTGAAAGTAAAGATGTCAGTGATTTGTTTTAATTTAATAAGAAAATGAGGAACTTTCATTGATATAACTTTGTATCACATTCATACCATGTTTCTTCCAACCTAAGAAAAACTGAGTGTTTTTCCTTCATACAGACATAACTTTTTTAGCATATTATCAGTTCACTTAAAAGATTTCATCATTTGCCCATAAAGCTGAGTATGCCATTCTTTGATATGATACTCTCAAATTTCAAACCTGGAGCTACTCTCTTCTTTCACAGGTACAGAATGGTTTGTCTTTTGGCCACATTTTTAAAAGTACAACCATTTTGAAAAATATTAGAAGCAATACGAAAATAAAATACTAAGTAATGATTGTGAGTGAGAATACGAATGAGATACCAAACTGTAGAAAGTGGAAATAGGTTGACATTTTTAGAACTGTAACCTTCAGCTAACAACTGCTTGATATTTACTATTGGAGGTTTCCTCACAGAACATAGAATAAGGTGCAGTAGCTGTTAAATGGCAAGGTTTCTGCCTTCAAAGAAGTTGAAATCCAGGAAGAGAAAACAAAACTAAATATATTCTTACGTTTAGTATTTCAGTGTTGTATGAAGGAGCCATCAGTGACCTGGAAATCATCATTTCAGGTCCTAGATCTACAACTTCCTTATAACATCAGAAGTGATGGTGGTGGTGGTTTAAAAAAAAAACCCACAGGGGTAGAAGTAAAACTCTGTAAAATGGATGAATACATAGGAACCTACTCTTTAGAAAGATCTAAAGGATGAGTAGACCAAAGATGTGAGGCAAAGAAATAAATATTCTAGCCTCCTGTTTTCATGGAGGATGTTTATCTGTAGCAGAAAATGCAGTTGAAGAGCTTATCATTTAATATGCATTAAAGAGTTCTTATTCATTATATAAATAAGATTTAACAATTTAACAAAGTCAATTGACATGGAACAGCTGTGTCTTTTCATTTTATTGAACAATAAGAAACTCGTCCTTTTAAAACAAAACCTAACAGCTTATACTGCTTACATTCAAAGACCCTCCCACACACACATTCACAACTCTGATGGCAAACTTTGAGAACAAAATATAGTAAATAGGGAAATAAATTTTAAATAAGTTCTTTACTCCAAATAAAACACTTCTGCAAATATTTCCTAACAACATCTAGTACAACAGTCCTGTTTGTGCTAAGATCCTCCCAACTGTACTCCTATTTCCACTTGTCAATCAAGTTTGAAAACAAATATGAAAATACACTATATTTTTAAGTTGATGTTTCCTGCTGAAACTGACTTTTCAGTTCCAAACCTCCTAATCAGTTATTGTCTACTTTAGATTTTAAATACATATAAGTCATCACACTTTCTTTTTAGTAAATTCCCTCTGTTGTTCGCTTTTTGATATTTTATAAATCCAGAGTGACTAAATTTTTCTTTTCTCTTGTACTAATTACTGTTACTTTGCAATAGCTATATTTTCCAGCCTCGGATGTTTGAAAGCCTTATAGAGTTACACCTTTATTGCAACTATTTTAAACAAGTGGTTTCATGTTCATTGCCCCCAGAGGGTGATGAATATGAGCATGGAGGATGACTTGTATTAAACATATTTGTTTATAAAAATATATAAATATTTACCTTCATCCCTCCCCACCCCCCAGCAGGCAAAACACTTCCTAGTACTATCTCAGATGAGGCATTCTTTAAACACTGATGGAAATGTATTGTTGATCCTCTGCCCCAGAACCATCCTTCAACCCACCTGAGTGCTGCATTGGCAACAACCCCAATTCAAGGTCAAATACCCACAAGTTTTAAACATCACACATCAGGGGTTTTCTAGTTTGTTTCTTTATTTTTTAATTTCACCCCCCACCCATCCTCCCAATTAAATTAGGTTCTACTGAAGCTACCACAAGGAAAAGCTAAATATTATAATCCCCACTCTCACTCCCATCCCTACCTTCTCTTGCTTCTGCCTGTTCCTCCTTTACGTATCCTAACATTAATGTACATCCAAGTCAAACAACCCCCATGGGGTCACTGTGGTCTTCACCTTTGACTAGCTTTCTCTTTGACCTGGCTCCATATAAGATTATCTAAATTGCATTTTTTAGTTCTTCATTGATACTATACACACAAATTTAACAAATCTATATGCATTCAAATATTTAACAAATATCTAAATGTGTTCAATCATATGCATTTTATGGATTGTAAGTAGCCTACTTTCTTTTTTCTGAATCTACCCTGAATCATACTTGACCTCCAAAAATTATTTATCCATACGCTATAATCAAGACAAATTTTTAAATGTTGGCTGAGTGTTGAACAATCATTAAAATAGAAGCTTTTCTTGAAAATCCCACCCAGGATCAGCGTGGATTCAACCATTTCATTACAGGGGACTGAGCAGCATTCTCTTTCACAGTTTCTTCTCTGACAGCATTGCCATCTCCAGATGCCAAGTCAAGCTCTGAAATTAGAAGGAATACAGATAATATCCACATGGCTAAAACTCAAAGACCAAACACAATTTTTTTTGTTTTTATTTAATTTTAATAGAGTCAAGATTCTATGCTCTATATCAGTACCTCCTATCTAAAATAACACTTTTGCATTATTTCTGTTTATAAACCTAATATTACCTGACATTATCTTATACATTATTTTTTTCTTTATTTTTTCTGTATTATCTCACTCTACCACTATAATTTCAACTCCATGAAGGAGGGACTTTCTTTCATTTGCTCTAACATCCCATCATATACAACAACAATTGGAACATAGTAGGAACTTAATAAATATTTATGGTATGAGCAAATGCTGTAAGGATAGATTTCTAAGTAGGATTTTTATACTAACTTTAGAGAAGAGGGATTAACTTTGTGGTATGATTCCAGAAGGCAGATCAAAAAGTATAATTTTTATATAGCTATTTCTTGCTTTACACACAAGAAAAGTTATAATATTTAGAATTTTCTAAAATGAAACTTTCTGCTACATGTCCTTGCTTCAGTGTGCACATCCTGAAATGAAATGCTATAAGAAGATGAGTGTGACCTAGGAGACAAATGCATATAAATTCATGAAATATTTCAGATCTTAATCCTCACTCACCCCAGTAAAAAATAAATTTTAAAAAGTTACTTGTGAATTCCCAGTCTTAGGATGCTAACAAAATAAACAAACAAATACATAAATAAATAAATAAATGGAACAACTAGGGTAAGGAAACCCATCTGCCAAGAATGTTGGAGAAGACAACCTCAAGCAATTAGGGAATGGAAGGGACCTCTGAGAGAACCTATGCTGGTAAACCTTGGAGCCATTTAATCTATTCTCAAAAGGTGATGCCCTGTAAACTGTAGCATTCAAATCCAGAAAGTCTCATGTAGGAAGTGCACAACTAAGCAGGGGGTCCCTGGGCAACCTGTCCACAATCTTTAGAACTTTCTGTTCTCCATCTTGAACCTAAGGTTTACCAAGATGAATTAATAATCTTTAAATACTCCAGATCAGAAAAAGGAGAAAACCAAATGCTTTTTCCAAAAAATGTCTAATAAGAATCTCAATATTTATTTCTGGTATAAAAGTGAAAATATTTTTGTGCTGCCTATCATGAATGTCCATCAAGCAAAATAGTATCTGTTTTCAAGGCATCTGTATTTTAAATGTTCTACAATAATTATATATATTTGGGGCATGGTGTGATATTTTGAGTGTATAATGATTAAATACAACTAGCAAATCAGTCACCTCTCATGCCAGGTTTTGGTGGTGGAAATATTTAATCTACTCTTTGCAATTTTGAAACATATAGTGCATTATTAATTATAGTCACCATTCTGTGCATAGACAAATATGCTTTAGTGATACATGTCTTTTATTATTTTATTTATTTAAATATATGTCATTTTTTAATGGTCAATTTCAATTTAGTAAAGCTCTATGAGCCAGGCCATTTATCAACTTGATAACCAAATATGTTCATGGTACCGTCTTATTAGGTTATATATTCCTTATCTTCTCACAACTGTGTAAGAAATGTACATGACCTATAAGCAGCATGTGAGCATAACTACAAATTCATTCATTTCCCAAATTTGATTTACAGTTAGTATTTCTTATCCTCTCCCAAATCCGTAAAAATACATGCTTGGAATGCTTCCATTTAAATGCTTCCATCGGGTTAAAAAAAAAATGTTCTCTATTTTTTTTATCTTGGCTCTTAAACCCTATCCAATAAATTCCTCAAAGTACATTTTCTATGTGAAGTTGGTTGGGAGAGAAATAGTTTTGTCTAGTAAATATATAAAACAGATCACTGAAGAATTTAAAGAACTTTGCATATCTCAGTTGGTTATTTTTATTACAGATTTTTTAGTAATCAATCCTATGTATCCTCCATATAAAATGGGTTAACTTTATGAGAAATTATAGTATATATTCTCAAAATTATTAATGGGATTATTTTAGAAAATAACAACAGCAACCAAACTCAACTACCACCCACCTTTTCCTGAGTACAATCAAGGAAACAAGATCATTCAAATCAATGTTTTATTCTACTCACTGGCATTTTTTTAAGTTTTAAAAACTAGAAATGAGACTACTGTTGCCATGCCAGACCAGAATAAATTCTTACCTGTGCTTGAAACAAATCTCCGGGAAGACTTGGTTGATGAATATGGGAAGAAAGAAAATTTCAGACATTTGCCGGTCACCCTGTCACATATGCCCGACTGGCAGTTGCAGGTTTCTTTGCATTCCATCCCGAAGGTGCCGTAGGGGCAGTCTGAGGGCAGAGGAAGGATTAGAGAGGTACCCGTGTGTGTGTGTGTGTGTGTGTGTGTGTGTGTGTGTGTGTGTGCATAAGCCTCCATCCAAGCAGCCCTGCATGATTGCCTGAGGATGTGAACCAACCTCATGAATGTTGATTGTACAATGAAATCCAATTCTTGAAAACCCAGGCTTTGAATCAAATTTTAAATTTACAGCTTTATAAAATTCATGAATTACTTTATAAAATGTGTAAAGTCATAAATTTTATAACTTTGGGTTATAAAAGTGAAATCACACAGTAAGATCAGACAATGGATGCTCCCAGCTTAGTGTAATGATGTAAAGGTTAACTGAAGACAGCTACACACAGCCAGTCTCCTTGGACCTGTCTTAATTCTGTTTATTTTCTGCTTAGATGTCAACAGACAGATTCTCACAGTTTATCTCTGTAGTAGCTCAGTGAAGATGGGAAATTAAAGGCTGGTAGAGTGCTTGCCTAGCATGTACAAAGCTCAAAAAAAAAAAAAGAAATTGAATGGACATATACATCAGCTCCTCAGAGTTTAAAACATGTCATGCTGTCTTTGAATCCACTCTATTCACTGACAAGTTACAGTTTTAAATGTATAGCAAAGGTCTTCAAACTAACCAGGGATAAGAGAACTGTCACCTCAGCTCATCAGGAAGCAATCAACCCCCAAACTGCTTCAACCCTTGTAAAGTTCCTTATCTGTCTGAATAAGCAGTACAACCAACCTAACTCCCCCAGTTGTTAGGAGGGTTCACTAGTAAAATTCTCAGCCAAGCTAAGATGCAAGATGCAAAATGAACAAGAAAGTTTAGCTTTTATAGACTTATCAAGAACTGGAAGCCTTTAGAGCTTCACTGTTTTTATACTTCGACTAAAACATACTACACTGAGATAAAGAAGACAGTCATTTGTTAAGAAGACATAGTTAAATGACATAAACAGCATCTCAACTGGTCTGTAAAAGCCAGCAGAATAAATGTAGACTGTATATTCTCCTGGCATGAAAATATAAATGTACAATCACACATAGGTAGAGAAACAAGTTGTGAGGTATCTGGATCTTTAGCAACCCAATAATCCCCAGAATGATCAAGATGGATATTAATAAAATACAATTTTAAATTTTTTGTTGTAGATTGACACTATGTCTTTATTTTATTGATTTATTTTCATGTGGTGCTGAGGATCAAACCCAGTGCCTCACACATGCTAGGCAAGCACTCTACCATTGAGCTACAATTCCAGTCCCATTAAGTACATTTTTATAAAGATTTAGGAGTGCTCTTTTCACCATCCTTCAGATTACAGAGGATCCTGCTTTTGTACACTGTCCTCTTGCTGGGAAGAAATCCTTAAAAGGAATCCTTAGAAAACCTCTAGGAGAAAAGAACACAAGATTGGAATTTAATTATGCTTGCAGTGAAATCGAAAAATAAAAGTTTAGCCAAATTTTCAGTTACACTTCTAATGTATCCCCTGATATATCCAACAGTGCTGGATGCATAGTAAGTATTCAATAAATATGTGTTGGCTACATAATTGTTATCTGAGAAGCCTAATAGCAAGCATTTGAATATTTAGAAAACATTTGGATATGCAGTTGAATTGTATAGTTTTATGGGTATTCTATAGAAAAGCTAAGAGAGGGAGATTTCCTACAACAAAATGGAACATCTCTACCTAGAATATCTAAGTCTGACCTGTTCTCATTATATCCAGCAGAGAGAAAAACAGAATTTGTCAACAATCTGAAGGATGCTAAAAAGAGGAATCCAAAAATGAATTTTTAAAAATGTGTCTCATTAATATCATCCTCAATCATTCAGTAGAAATGAGAGTGCTAAAAATTCCAAGTACCTTACAGCTTGATTCTTTATACTAATGCAATTGTACATGTATCATCACATTTACAAAAGGCATTTCTATGCCAAGAGAAAAAGCAATCCACTGTATATACTGGCTATATCATAAGCATGATTGTGTTAACCACTTCCTCCCTAATTTCCTTATGTGAGGTACTGTTTTCTTGACTGATAAGCACCGTGATTTGCAGAAAATGCAGTTCCTATTCAGTTGAAAGAAACAGAAGTGTATCTGTTCACCAAAGAAAATATTTACTCAATATTCTACGTCTTACTGGTTATAAGCAAAAATAATCTAAGCACAAAAACAAAATTATCCCAATAGTCCAAGAATTTATTTTCTGACCTTTCATAGGTTTTACAGATTAATGTATTCACTTATAAATTATTTTCTAAAAGGAAGGAAAATTAATGGATTAACTTAGCTCTGGATGATTATCTCAGAAAAGAATACAATTGGATTAATACATAAGATATGAAAATTTAGAAATTTCTCAGAATTTTGACAAGTTACCTTTATTGTACATCTGATATTGTTACAACATGAGTTGTGCCTTTGTAAAAGCTCTTAAGGAGATTATGAATGGAGCATATTTAATCACCATTCTTTTGATTTTAAACATTTTTAAAATTTTAAACATTTTGAACCTTAGTCATTAAGTTTTAAATAAACTCTACAAATTCTTAACTGTATCATTTAACTATAATTTCAATCTGATAAAGTTTCCCTTTAAGTCTATAAAACAGCTGACCTTATTCTTTATAGACTTTTCAATTTTTATTTTTCTTTACTGTTATTTTTGGCTTTTCTTAGACCAACTGCTATTTTCCTAGTTAACAAAAATCTTTATAAAGTGGAATGAGGTTTGTTTTATAGTCCCAGAGACTCCTGCAAGAAGGTGAGCTATTTCTTTAGATGACTTAAACCCTCCTTATCCCATCACACACATTAGCATTCATCAGAAAGATTCGAACTGGAGCTCTCCTCTCCACCCTGTGGACCCTTTCAAGATCAAAGACTCACTAAATCTGGGGACTAGAAACCACTCCAAGAGGTTATCTGGTGAGACCTCTGTAATCTCTGCCTTGACAGGAGAGAGCACCTAAAAGCATTCATAACAGATTACTTGTTAAATTTCTAAAGTTTTCCAGAAAAAGAGGTAATGCATCTTCCATTGCAACTTTCTTAAATCTCCTAATCATAATGGGTACAGAGCTACATTTCATTCTATGCACCCTGCACACTGGTTTCTACAATTGTGTGTAGTTTTCCTCCCAGGACAACACCTGTAGGGGACCTGCATCTTCCCTCTTCATCCTGAAGAGCAAAGCCACCTCACCTCCCAAACTACCTACAAGCCCTCAGGGAGCCCTGGATGGAGGAAGCAAGGGGTCACTCTTTACCTTTGCAGATACCAAACTCTTCACCAAAATCATCCTCCTCACTGTAAAACTGACACCTCAGCCCCGGGCCACACTTCACGCCATCCATGCCTGAGACCGTGCGGTAGCAGGTTTCTCCCAGCCCTGCAGCGCACACCTGGCAGCAGCCACAGTCGTCCAGCACCATCTTCTTGCAGTGCAAATTGCTTCTGCACTCACTACTGTCACAATGTTCTGGGCAATCCACGGCGTACTTGACACTCCAAGCCACAGCCAGGTGCACAGGTACAAGGAGTGTGGTCAGCAGCAAGAGGCTCCTCATGTTTCTCTGTGGGCTCAGGCTCGGCTCCGAGTTGTGGTCTTTGCTGGTAGCAAGCAGAGTCCAAAGTGGTAGCTGAGCCTCTGCCTACACGTTTATGAGTTTTATACACTGGGTTGCCCGCATGCTTCCCCGTCATCAATTTCCTCAACCCAGCAGCAGCGCTGTCCTCCTGCCAGCCTCTCTTGTTTTAGTTTATGAAATCCAGGATGAAGGCTGGATTAACACACTGCTGCCATCCAGGAATTGAAAAGCCCAAGCTGATGTCATCTGTTATGTTTAGATGGTTGTTTTGCATGAGGGCTGAAAAACTCACTCACATCCGTCTCAAGGGCTCAAGGACGTCTGTGAAGGGGGAATAATAAAGAAGGTCGCACACCCCCCTTCAGGACAGGAATTGTTCTGACACCGGCATATCACTTGGGGTGTAGCTTTGTCTCAGAGTCTCTGTAGTTGGGAGGAAAATGATATCGACATGAATCATCAAGACCGAAGAAGCTTCTGTAAAAGAAAAAAAATAATAATAAGCATTTGGTATTTCCCCTCAATAAATAGCTATGAGATCATTTGGAAGAAGAAAGGGTTATATTGTGCCTTTTCAATACTTAGAAGAAAGAAAATATTTTGATAGGGATTTTTTAAAGACCCTTTCTTCCTTCCTCCTGCCCTTCTCCTCCGAACATTATTTCTAAAGCAATTTGTGTCACATATGTCTAAGTCTATCGTGGATGTAGCTGTGTTTCTTAGTAAGATGTGGAACTGCAGCTGAGAATTTCCTTTAAAATCAACACGAAAAGCCACAAGAGAGGTAAGATCTTACTGGTGCTGTTTCTGGCTTACTCCATTCTGGAGAAACTTATCTGTTGGACTTCTCCTGACCCAAAACTCCCTGGAGAGAGGCTCATCCATCACTGAGTCTGCTCGACCAATGATCGAGTCCGTCGGGAGCCCTTCCCTCACCTCCTGGCATCTATCAGAGCCCTTGCTAAAAACCGCCAAACAAGGCAGCCAGCCCAAGGAAACAAATGAGCCAGCAGGGCAATGAGAATAAGCTCCAGCAAGTCCCGAGCAAGGAAAAACATTACCCATCAGGAAGCAAGGTCTTCATGCTATGGAAGGTCACAGGGCATAGGTCCCACTGCAGAAAACAGAGGAGGTCTCTTGAAACATTGACTGGACCAGGGCTTTATTGAGCAAGGTTTGCGGCACAGAAAGAGCAAGATGGAAGAAAACAGAGGGGTTTTCTTACACCAACCATGTGTTGGATTATAAACCCCCCTTCCCACTTGTCAAAATAGAAACAAACCCATAGTCATCTGGTAAATAAATGACCCAGCAAAGTGGTCTGTTGAAATTAGCTGTGGGAAATCTACAGGACTCAGCTTCCTCTCTTGAGAATTGACAGCATTAGGTTAGTCAACCTCTGAGATTCTCCAAAAGACAGGGCAGAGAGGCCTGGTCTCTGCTTTTGTGAATAAAATATTAGTGGGTGGAGGGAGCAGGAGGAGTGCAGAGAATTGAGGAAGTGGGAAAGAAGGCAAGAGTTTTAGCTTCCAAATTTCCCAAATTTTCCAAGACCATCTACTTTGAAATTCTTTATATTCATCTCTTTACATTTATCTTTAAATTCATCTCTCCAGAAACAAACATGTACATAATGGGTGGAACACTGATTTACTGTTTTCAATAATGGATAATATTTATTGAGCATATATTATGTACCAAACCCTGTTCTTAAACATTTCACATGTTTCACTTGCCCCTCACCACAATATTATGAAGTAATTATTATCATGTCTACTTTTTGAATGAGAAGTTGAGTCAGAGAGAGGTCAAATAATTTGCCCCAATTCTGCCATAATGTCAGAGATTGACTCAAACTGTCAATTTAATCCCAAAGCCTCACAGTCAATTGCTTATTATAATACAATCAAGTTTCCATGGCCAGTATCTCCAATGGTTCACAATTTAGGTTGATCCTAAGAAAGGTTTCTTGTTCAAACTTTGTTGAACACCACTTTCTGAGGAGAGAGTGGCTATCTGAAATAGTAGTTAATAATAATACCTACCTAACCTTTGTAGAATTCTTACTATGGATGAGACACTATACTAAGCACTTTATGTAGATTACACATTTAACCTTTAAAACAACATCCAGAACTAGATACTATTCTTATACCCATATTTGAGATAAGAAAACTGAGCCCTGGAGAAGTTAAGTAACTCATCCAACAGCACATAGTTAATAAATGGTTAGTTAATAAAGCCAAGACTCCAGCCCTGAGATGAATGGGCTTGGAGACTAGAAAAAGGATTTCAAAATCAAATATATACAGATGGCAAACAAGTGGCCCAGATGGGTAAAGTGGTGAGCAATACAAGGTATGATTCACAAGGCATGGAGTGAATTTTGTACACCTGAAGAGCATACAAAGTTTTAAATATTTTCCACTATGGATAAAGGGAAACCAAATTGATACTGCCATTGGTAAATGACAACTAAATAGAGAAGATGAAAATTGAGAGTATGAAATTCATAACAGTAAAACAAACAATGCCTAGATGAAATAGCATCAGTAAAGTTCATCAATGACAGAACTATCTCAATTCATAGTATCTAACAACTGACTCATTTTGGGAAAACCTTCAATTCCTTCTAAAACCCAGCAAAATCCCTATGGTATTTTTATCCATTTTTTTTTTCTATCTTCCTATAACCTTGAGCTCAGATCAACCAATTCCACTAAGAAAATTAGGAATTAATAAAGGGATAGGAAGTCAGAGCATGAATAACCAAGAAGCCAATTTAATTTTCAGCCTCCCCCCAAAATTAAGGTAAAAGCAAAACTTGACCTTGAGCTCATGGTTGACTTGCTTTGTGCTGGGAACTGGCCCATCTCTCAGCTTGCTCTGCCTGTGCAGCAGTTGTACAATAAAGAGTTAAAAAAAAAAAAAGGACAAGTTTTCAAATTCCAAAAATTCAGCCAGGCTCAGTAGCACACGCCTATAATCTCAAGAGCTCAGGAGTCTGAGACAGGAGGATCATGAGTTCAAAGCCAGCCTCGGCAACTCAGCAAGGCCCTAAGCACCTCAGCAAGACTCTGCCTTTAAATAAAATACAAAAAAAGGGCTGGGGATGTAGCTCAGTGGTTAAGCACCCCGGGTTCAATCCCTGGTACCAAAAAAAGCTTCCACAAATGTAAATTCAAGGGGCTGGGATTGTGGTTCAGTGGTAGAGTGCTCGCTTAGCATGTGTCAGTGGTTAAGCACCCCGGGTTCAATCCCTGGTACCAAAAATGTAAATTCAAGGGGCTGAGGTTGTGACTCAGTGGTAGAGGGTGCTCGCTTAGCATGTGTGAGGCACCCGGTTCAATCCTCAGCACCACATACAAATAAAATAAAGATATTGTGTCCACTTATAACGAAAAAATAAATGTTTTTTTAAAAAAATGTAAGTTCAAGCTCTAGTGGGGTTACACCAAACCACCTCTAGATTCACAGGACATAGCAAGTGGTCTTCTGAATTGGGATAGAGAAATGATAAAACCAAATCACTATTCAACCCAGCATGCCCATACATTTAAAATGCAGTGATTTTTTCCTTAAATTTGGTATTGTGCCAACCAAGAAAATAAGTCTACGTAATTACGCTGATATTTTCTACTTTAATTTGCAAATAGTGATTGATTGCAACCAAATGCCAAGGATTTATTTCTGGTAGGCAAAGATGATCCAGTGGTAAAAGTTCTGGGTAGGTTCCAAATCCTCAGGAGATGGTTCATGGTCAAGCTGATTATATCACATTAACTGTGCCTTCCTAACAACCCATCTCTACCGGATGAGTTTGATTTAAATTGAGTTGCAAAGACATCCTTGAAGGCAAACATTTCCAAGGAGCAAGAACAGACGTTTACAAGCAGATTTTTGATATGTGACACCTTTTAGGTGTTTCAGTTTAGTTTTTCCGTGTGTGTGTGTGGGGGGGGGGGTGTATGTGTTTGCATCCTAAAGTCTTCCTGCTCTGACATCAGCTGTGACATTTTGGTATGTGCCTAATGCAAGGTCTAGCATATTTTAGGAGCTTAATACTTAAGAAATACATATATGTAACCAGCTTTTCTCAAAATCATTTTCAGAGAGCACAAGTTGAAATGGGCATAAATATGTTCCCCTTCTCTGTCTTTCCACCAAGAGAGGCAAAGGGAGCACCTGGTTCTTAGGAGGGCAGGGTTGACCTGCAGAGCTGAGTGTTTCTCTGTTGGAAGGAAGTAGAGGTTTCCAGAAATAGCAGAAGCCACTGGGCATTGAACAGAGTCTGAGCAAAGATTGTCAGCTCTCACACAACTAACCTACTTGGTCCTCTTGACCTTTGGGGATTGGCAGTACCATGTGCCACCCGAGAAGTTCATGGGAGCCCTCGGAGTCAAGGGACTCTGACAAAATACATCTGTCAGAGGGCAGAGGATCATGGCAGGAACAGTAAGTGGTCAAAGGCGAGGGCCTGGGGAGTCCTAGACACAGCTCTGCCACTAGCAAGCTATGTGATCTTAGGCAAGTCACATGCCACATACCTTAGTCCTCTTCTCTCTCTACCTCAATAATGAATTAAGAGGACCAAATAGTGCAACAGCCAAGAAAGTATCATGACCATTATCATAAGAGTCTAATTTTTGAAGATTTGCTGCATTCTTAATAAGTGAACTTAGGTCTTAGAGCAAATATTTCTCCAAAAGAAATACCTTTACAGTTCTCTAAGCTTCAATTTTTTTTAATAAAGACAATTTTCAAAACTACAGGCAGTTTCCAAAACCTACATGTGTTTGGAAGAGTCAGTGAAGCGCACCTGTTTGAACCGGGCCTCCTGCCTGGGTACAGGCTCTTGGATTTGTACTAAGAAACAAGTCTACACTTTGGGCAGCTAGGGCACCCTCAGAGTTGCCCTTGGGACCCACAAGTATAGAGGTCTACAAGTGAGTGTGATAAGGACCTGGCATCCACAGCGTCTGCTATAAACCTCAACCCAGAATCTCTGGGCACTCAGAGAATTTTGTCTCCATAGCCACATCTTTGACTCCAGTGGATTCTGGGGAAGTTGCCAGATTCAGGTTTCTTTTTAACCCTGGTCAAATCTAGAAACTTCAACTTTGGGCTACACTGCTAGGAATTTGTTTAGAGCCAGGTGGTTTAGACTTGGGAACACCTGAGGAGCTCTCGGGTTGTCTCCAGATGTCTCTCCCCCTTGCCCCAGTTCTGGCAAGCTCAAACATAAAAAGTGTCTAGGCAAGTTTTTCTAACAGCTGGCTCATTTTTAAATTAGGGTTCTGGGTTTATGAATCCATCTGCAAGAGATTTCAGTCACGGAGTATCCCTCTACCTTCAAATATTAACCTATATCCAAAAGTGCCATGCACTGCTCTGATACAAAAAGAAAAAGAAGAAGAAACAACATGAATTGCAAAAGGAGCTCTGAACTCAGAACCAGAAGACCCAAGTTGGAATCC